TTTCTGTTTATCATAATGTTGCTTATTGGTCCTGTTGTGAGGTTTTTTTGTTTTCAATATGTTGAAGTGTAATCCATACTGAAGGCTGTAGTTTTTGATCTTCATCAGTAAGTGCTTCAAGTTCTCTTCACTTTCAGCAAGCAAGGTTGTCTCATCTGCATATTGCAGGTTGTTAATGAGTCCTCCACAAATCCTCATGCCACATTCTTCTTCATATAATCCAGCTTCTCAGATTATTTGCTCAGCATACAGATTGAATAAGTATGGTGAAAGGATACAACCCTGATGGACATCTTTCCTGATTTTAAACCATGCAGTATCCTCTTGTTCTGTTTGAAGGACTGCCTCTTGGTCTACATACAGATTCCTCATGAGCACAATTAAGTGTTCTGGAATTTCCATTCTTCAACATAATAAAGGGCATCTATACAAAACCAACAACTACCATCATTCTCAATGGAGAGAGTCTGAAAACATTCCACCTGAGAATGGAAACAAGACAAGGATGCCCTTTATCACCACTCTTATTTAACACAGTGCTGGAAGTCCTAGCTAGAGCAATGAGGCAAGAAAAAGAAATAAAGGGCATCCAATTTCGAAAGGAAGGGTAAAACTATCTCTATTTACAGACGATATGATGCTATACATAGAGAACCTCAAGATTCCACTACTGGAACTAACAGAAAGATTCAGCAGATTAGCAGGATCAACATACAAAAATCAGTTGGATTCCTATACACCAATAAAGAGAACTTCAAAAAGGAAAGCAGGAAAACAATACCACTTATAATAGCCCCTAAAAAGATAAAATACTTAAGAATAAATCTAACCAGGGACGTAAAAGACCTAGACAGACAAACTACAAAACAGTATTGCAAGAAACCAAAAGACACCTACATAAATGGAAAAACATACCATGCTCATGGATGGGAAGTCTCAACATTGTAAAAATGTCATTTCTACTCAAAGCAATCTACAGCTATAATGCAATCTTGTTCCAAATACTAACAGCATTCTTTAACGACATGGAAAAACTAATCACCAACTTTACATAGAAAGGAAAGAGGCCCCGGATAAGCAAACCATTACTGAAGAAAAAGAACAAAGTAGGATGTCTTACACTACCTGACCTCAGAACCTACTGTACAATCATGGTAGTCAAAACAGCTTGGTACTGGTACAATGACAGACACATAGACCAATGGAACAGAATCAAGAACCCAAATGTAAATCCATCCACCCATGGTCTGTTGATCATTAACAAAGGACCAAAGTAGATTAAAGGGGAAAAGACACTTTTTTTTTAACAAATGGTGCTGGCAAAACTGGTTGTCCATTTATAAAAAAATGAAACAGGATTCATACCTCACATCATACACAAAAACTATCTTGAAATGGATCAAAGATCTAAATATACAACCTAAAACAATAAAGTTCATGTAAGGGAAAATGCTAAGGGCCCTAATATATGCCATAAATAGAATATTAAACATAACTGAAAATGCACACACAGCAGAAGATGAACTAGATAAATTGGATCTCCTAAAAATTAAACATTTATGCTCATCAAAAGACTTCATCAAAAAAGTAAAACAAGAACCTACAGATGATATGATGGGTAAAAGAAATTTGGCTATGACATATCTGACAAGGGTCTAATTTCTAAAACCAATAGAACGCTTCAACATCTCAATGACAAAAAGACAAATAATCCAGTTAAAAAATGGGCAAAGGATATGAACAGACACTTCACCAAAGAAGATATTCAGGTGGCTAACAGACACATGAGGAAATGCTTGCCCATCATTAGCCATTAGAGAAATGCAAATCAAAACTACAATGAGATATCATCTTATCCTAACATTATTGGCACTAATAAAAACACAAACAAACCAGAAAATAACAAATGTTGGAAAGGATGTGGGGAGACTGGCACTGTTATGCACTGCTGGTGGGGATGTAAAATGGTACAACCACTATGAAAAATGATATTGTGCTCCCTTAAAAAGCTAGAAATAGAAATACCATACAATCCAGCAATACTGCACCTAAGAATATATCCTAGAGAAATAAAAGCCATCACACAAATAGATATGTTCACACTCGTGTTCATTGCAGCATTATTCACAATAGCAAAAAGATGGAAATAACCTAAGTTCTCATCAACAAATGAATGGATAAACAAATTATGGTACATACACACAGTGGAATACTATGCAATGATAAAGAACAATGATGAATCCACGAAACATCTCACAACATGGATGAATCTGGTTGTCATTATGCTGAGTGAAATAAATCAATCACAAAAGGACAAATATTGTATGAGACCACTATTATAAAAACCTGGGAAAAAGTTTACAACACAGAAAAATACAATCTTTGATGGCTATGAGGGAGGGTAGGGGTGGAGAGGGGAAATCACTAATTAGATAGTAGACAAGTTAACTTTGATGAAGGGAATGACAACACAAAATATAGGGGAAGTCAGCACAACTTGACCAAGGCAAAGTCATACAAGCTTCCTAGACACATCCAAACACCTTGAGGAACTGAGTTACTGGGGCTGAGGGCTGGAGACTGTGGTCTTGGGGGACATCTAGGTCAAATGGTATAACATAGTTCATAAAGGAAATGTTCTACATCCTACTTTGGTGTGTAGAGTTTGGGGTCTTAAAAGCTTGTGAGCGGCCATCTAAGATATATCTGTTGGTCCCATCCCGTCTGAAGCAAAAGAGAATGAAGAAAACCAAAGACACAAGGAAAATATTAGTCCAAAGAACTAAAAGGACCACATTAACCACAGCCTCCACCAGCCTGAGCCCAGAACTAGATGATGCCTGGTTACCACCACCGACTACTCTGACAGGGATCACAAGAGAGGGTCCCGGATGGATCAGGAGAAAACTGTAGACCGAAATTCAAATTTCACAAGAAAAAGACCAGACTTGGTGGTCTGACAGAGACTGAAGGAACCCTTGAGACTACAGCCCCAGACACCCTGCTAACTCAGAACTGAAGCCATTCCCGAAGTCCAAATTTCAGCCAAAGATTACACAGGCCTATAAAATAATGTTTGGAGCCCTGGTGGCACAGTAGTTAAGAGTTCTGCTGCTAACCAAAAGGTTGGTTGTTCGAATTCACCAGCTGCTCCTTGGAAACCCTATGGGGCAGTTCTACTCTGTCCTATAGGGTCGCTATGAGTTGGAATCTACTCAACGGCAATGGGTTTGTTTGTTTGTTTTTATAAAACAAACAATAACACACATGAGGAACATGTTTCTTAGTTTAATCAAGTTTAAGAGGCCAAACTGGCACACCTGCCCAAAGCAAAGACACGAAGGCAGGAAGGGACAGGAAAACTGGGGGAATGGACATGGGGAACCTGGGATGTAAAGGGAATGGTGAAGAGTGCTGACACATTGCGAGGATTGCAACCAATGTTACAAAACAAATTGTGTATAAATTTTTGAATGAGAAACTAATATGCACTATAAAAAAAGAAAGAAACCAAAAGAGACCTGTATAAATGGTAAAACATATCATGCTTATGGATAGGAAGACTTAACATTGCAAAAATGTCAATACTACCCAAAGTGATCTACAAATATAATGCAATCCTGATCCAAATTTCAACATCATTCTTTAATGAGATGGAAAAACTAATCATCAACTTTATATAGAAAGGAAAGAGGCCCTGGATAAGCAAAGCATTACTGAAGAACAAAGTAGGAAGACTCACACTCCCTGATCTCAGAACCTACTATACAGCCACAGTACTCAAAACAGCCTGGTACTGGTTCAACAATAGACACATAGATCAACGGAACAGAATTGAGAACCCGGAAGTAAATCCATCCACCTATGGACAGCTGATCTTCAACAAGAGTAAAAAGAGAACCTACAGTCTGGGAAAAAATCTTTAGCTATGACATATCCGGCAAGGGTGTAATCTCTAAAATTTATAGAAAACTTTAATACCTTAACAACAAAAAGACAAACAACCCAATAAAAAAATGGACAAAGAACATGAACAGACACTTCATCAAAGAAGACATTCAGGCAGCTAACAAACATATGAAGAGATGCTCGCGATCATTAGCCATTAGAGAAATGCAAATCAAAACTACAATGAGATACCATCTCACCCTGACAATGACACTGATGAAAAAAAAAAAAACACAGAAAACAACAAATGCTGGTGAGGTTGTGGGGAGATTGGAACCCTTATACAGTGGGAATGTAAAATGGTAAAACCACGATGGAAAATGGTATGGTGCTTCCTTAAAAAGCCAGAAATAAAAATACCATATGATCCACCAATCCCATCTGCAACCCCTTGAAAAGCTATATTATCAGCATTTAATGAAGAACAGAATTCCAGAGTTGGGGTTCAAGACCAATTTTATCTCAAAGTACTCCTCATAAATATACATGCTCCTTTCCAGAAATAAGTCCAAAATGGATTTAACTAGTTTTTATTCAACCTTTCAAAGTTCATATATTTGAAGTGCATTTTTGCTATTGTGTTTTGTTTTTATTTATTAATTCTGATGTTTTAGTTTGATTTTATGAATCTTAATTTTACTCTTCACTTTATTAAATAAAATATGAGATTCTTAAGGATGATATAAAGGAGTTTGGGAAGAACATTTATGAAATGTAAAGGCAGACAATTTCTTTGATTTGATCAAGGTTCATAGGAAATCATCATGCTTTCTAAACCGATATGCTAGCTAAAGAAACCTCTTAATTATTCCATAATCTATTTTATAGTCTGATTTAGCTGTTTAATTACTAAAACCATGCAGTTCAGTCAATTTAGACTGCTGAACTGATAAATGGAAACACAATTTTAGAGTTTTACTCGAAATTTTACTTTTATTCATATGGTCTTAATTTATTGAATGCCTCCATACCACCCTACCTACATAAAATGGTTGGATTTATAGATTCTCTGTGAACTTATGCACAAAGTTATCAGTATATTTTAGACTTACCATTTCTAAAACAGATGGCCGGCCTTCCAACTGAATGTGAACACTGGCTTCTTTTCCACTTTCCATTCTCCCAAAATTGCATACGAAATTTAAACAATATGGATCGTTTATTATGCAGTACTTGAAAAGAATACAAAAGTACTACATTAATACAAGTACTAAATTCATACTAAATTTTCAGCATTAAAAAAGACAGCTAAAATATTTTTATTGGAATTAAAAATCTGCTTTCCTTAAAGCCGTTGAGTTGATTCCAACTCATATAGTGGCATTTAAAGAAATTATTTTGCTGTAAATAAAACAAATGTTTGTTTTATAAATTATAACAGAAACAAATTATTTGAACTGGAGCATGTGTCCTCATTATTCATATGAACTTAACCTTCTGGGATAGAATTAAAAGAAACACTCCTAATCAGAGTCTTGCTAAATTACATATTTTATGTTCATTGTAAAACTTGAATCATTTGAAAGATAAGATTGTTTCCCCATAAATTCATTAAGATGAAAAGAATGAAAATTAATCTCATGTCACAAAGGCTGGTCAAGTGAAGACAGCATCTTGGTGTCCTGAAGGGTCTGGAACAATGTCTGTCTGGCACGTAATGGACATTATTTAGATAAAAAATGGAACTATATAGTATATATTTACCCTGGGTCTAGCTCAACCCTTCAATCGTGTCTGTTCCTCATGCACAAGAATATTACCGAAACTTGTGTTCTCTCTTACCACTCAACTGACTAAGCGCAAACCCACTGACTCTTTGTTCTAAGTGTTTCACTCCTGTACGTTAGAAAGCAAAACTAAAACCTGAAAAATTGAAACTTACCAATAACCTCTTATCGGACTTTGACAAGAATTTGAATATGTCTTTCATGCTCTCCACTACACCCTTTTGCTGCTGTAAACACTCTCTTTGATAATTTTGAAAATGGCATTCACCAGTACTAGTCTATGAAGATAGAAAGCAAGAAAAAGTTTTCAATATTGAAAATAACAACGAAACTACACGGCTTTAAAAATCCCATTGCTTATCTTTTCTAAAATATATCAAATATTTCTAAAATGTGACAGATTTATTTCAGAGAGATTAAATCTCTGTGGCAGAAACATAAACAAACAAACAAAACTGGAAAAATTATAGAGGGCTGAATAAATCACTTAAGCTATTAAAATGGCCTTAGCCTTACAGAAATCAAGGCAATGTGAATGATGGAATTTGAACATTAAAATGAAATCAAACATTTCTTTGGCTTTAGGCACAAATCAATAACATAACAGCATGTCCCAACACCTAAATCTGAAATTCAAGTAAAATTTTTAAAAAAATCAAATTTCAAACCAACTTAGTAGGTTTAATTTTTGATTGTTTGTCTTGAAACTGGAAAGGTAAGACAATTCTAATGGAGACATCAACGCGAGAATACTGGTTCTTAAGTAGTGATTTGAATATTGTTTCCTTAAAAAAGGCTCCATAATTTTACCAATTAAATTAGTTTCAGAGGTCCATACCACAAAGAAAACGTATCCTAAAATAATTATTCAACAGAGATGGCAGAACATAGTTCTGCTGTTTAAGTCAAGTGTGGAGGTCCCAACGTAATGCTACAGTTTTAATGCAATGTATAGCATTCAAAGTATACTTCATAAGTGCATGGTGAAGTCACATCATATGCAGAGTAAATCTGACTGAAATAAGTTAACAGAAAGCTCTATTTTAGCAATATTATTTAGAATAAAGGATTGGTCTACATTTATTTTAGTATTGAAGACACACATAATAAAGGCCAGGGTGGAAAAAAATACATTTATACCTGCACATCCAAAATGTTGAACAGTTTATCGGTGTTGGGGGTAAAAGAATTTGGTACCATTATTTCCATGCTAACATTTGGAGCCATGCTATGGCCAGAGTTGATAACCTGATAAGAAGGAAAAATTTTAAAACAATTTTTAAATGTTTTCCATAAGCGTAAATACAGATATCAATGATCTTTTGGGTAAACCCAAACGCATGCAACACTTATAGTGGTGGAGATTTGCAGCTGGCAGCTTCCCAGCAAAAGGAGTGAGGAAACCCATAGTTAGAATTTGAAGAGGTTTTTAAATAATTTCAAGCTGTAGTCATTATTCCAAGCCATCTCTTTTTTGTATTGATTCAGCCATAATGTGCAGGCTGATGGCATATTAAGGGAGAGACTCCAATAATATGCATTTGTATGGCATGATATGTATTTAAAAAACCATGATCAATTGGTCTTCATAGCTCTCCCCTGAGGTGGGCCAGCATTTCATTCTCCAGCTAAGGAAAATGCTAAGAGGTGCTAATGATATGTCTAAGGTGAAAGTTAAAAAGTGACAAAGGTCAGAACTAAAACCTATGTTTTCTAATTTTAAACCCTACAATCTTTTCACAAAAGTATTATGTCAGCAGTAAGTGAATAAAAACGTATTTCTGAACCGGGAATTATAACGCTAATTCACTCAAAAAATCAGAAAGTGGTAGATTATTAGGTTTTAGAGAAAATAGAACAGGATTTTAATAATGTTGTTGTTAGGTGCTGTTGAATTGGTTCTGACTCATAGCGACAGAAAAAAACATTGCCTCGTCCTGTGCCATCCTCACAATCCTTGTTATGTTTGAGCCCATTGTTGCAGCCACTGTGTCAATCCATCTCATTGAGGGTCTTCCTCTTTTTCAATGACCCTCTACTTTATCAAGCATGGTGTCCTTCTCCAGGGACTGGTCTCTCCTGATTACATGTCCAAAGTACATGAGACGAAGTCTCACCATTCTTGCTTCCAGGAGCACTCTGGCTGTATTTCTTCCAAGACAGACTTGTTTTTCTAGCAGTCCATGGTATATTCAATATTCTTCACTAACACCGTAATTAAAAGGTGTCAATTCTTCTTCAGTTATCCTTATTATTCATCATCCAGCTTTCGCATGCATATGAGGCGATTGAAAGTATCATGGCTTGGGTCAGGCACACCGTAGTCCTCAAAGCGGCATCTTTGCTTTTTAATACTTCAAAGAGGTCTTTTGTAGCAGATTTATCCAGTGCAATACATCATTTGATTTCCTGACTGCTGCTTCCATGGGTGTAATAGTGTTCAAAAAATTAGGATATTTCATTATTATTGATCTATTTGGGGATTGCAAAGAAATTTTCTCTACTCCATGAAAAAGGAAATTGAGCCAAAATATTGCCTTTTGAGAGGTTAACTATAAAACAAATACAATGAGTCAGAAAAGAGATGTGCTACAATACCTGAATGAAATAGGATGACTTGCCAACCTACACGAATCTTTTGAATTCATATGACGTAAATGAAGAAAGAGAATGTCCCTTGGTTTGGGGGTGGTGCAAAGACACGGAACCACAGGGCAGTTGCAAAAGAAAATGCCAGCAGTATGTACTCAGCAGTGCCCAGTCTCATGGACAAGGTCTTCCCTGATGCCAGTATACTCAATCTAACCTACAATATGCCTCCATCCCTGTTCATGTAATAACATTTAGATCTCCATGAACATCTTCATAGTTGGACAAACTCATCAACCCTATGAACTGCAAGTATACCCAGCCCTAGTCACTCCAGTGAAAAATAACTATTTTTTTTAAAAAAAAACAAAAAACAAACCCATTGCTGTTGAGTCGATTCCGACTCATAACGACCCTGCAGGACAGAGTAGAACTGCCCCATATGGTTTCCAAGAAGTGGCTGGTGAATTTGAACTGCCAACCTTTTGGTTAGCAGCCAAGCTCTTAACCACTGTGCAACCAGGACTTCTAACTCTAAAATACTTAATCATTAATTGTAAATTAATAAACAGGTTTCTGGAGTTTAGCCCACAGTCTATTTTAATTTATTAGAGCACAAATTCCCACTGTGCTCTGAAAAAACACTCCTTGGGTAGAGGGTCAGTTTTTTTTTTCTTTGCTTTTTTTTTTTTTTTAGCACAAGTGGTAACAAAAATTTGAGCATACATAGAATCAACAGGATTCCAAGATAATTCTTCTATTTATCTGAGACAGGGTCCAGGAATTTGCATTTTGGAAAAGCATCCCAAGCAATTCTGATGTACATTTTGAAAAACATTGCCTCATAAAATATAATGTGCTTAATCCAGACCTATTCACATTCAACAGACTGTTATATAACTCTAAAAATGTACATTGTTTACTTACTTACTGATCATCCACATCTGTGATGCATCCAAAAATCTCAGTTTGATAGTAAAAATTTTTTAAAAAAGATCTTTTAAGTTTTACATTAGTATATTAATATACTGAATAATGATGGTCCTATTTATTTTTTTAATAAAATTTTATTGTGTTTTTGGTGAAAGCAAGTTAAATCCACATTTGACAAATTTCACACAAATTGTTCAATAACATTACATTTTCACACTATGTGAATGTTCTCTTTAATTGTGTTCTGGTTGTTCCATTCCCAGTGCTCTACCTTCCCTGCCCCCTTATCTTCTCATCTTTGCTTTAGAGTAAATGTTGACGTTTTGGTCTCATACAGATGGTTTTTTAGTAGAGCGCCTTTCTTATGGATAATATACTTTATTTTGTGTGCCACTCTGCTATTTCAATAAAAGGTGGTCTCAAGGGATAGTTTCTGTTCACGGTTTAAGAGTGTCTCAGGGCGACAGTCTCAAGAAGTCCTCTGGTCTCAACTGGTCCAGTTAGTCTGGGCTCTTTCAAGAATTTGAAGTTTCTTCTACATTTTTCTCCCATTCTATCAGGGACCATCTATTGTGACCTCAGTCAGAATGGTCAGTAGTGGGAGCCAGGCACCATCTAGTTCTTCTGGTCTCAGTGTAGATGAGGTTGTGGCTCATGTAAGCTATCAGCCTTGTAGACTTGTTTCTTCTCTGAGATTTTGGTAACCTTCTTACTCTTTTGCTTCTGATGAGTAGAGACCAATAGTTGTATCTTGCAAGGTTTTAAGACTCCAGATACTACTCACTTCACTAGAATGCAGAACATGAATTTCATGAACTATATTATGCCAGTTGACTAAGTTGTCCCATGAGACTACGGTCCTAAGCTTTCAAACTTAGAAAACCAATCTCGGAAGCTATTTGGTTATGTCTGAGGAGCCCTGGTGATGTAGTGGTTAAGAGCTCGGCTGCCAACCAAAAGGTTGGCAGTTCAAATCCACCAGCCACTCCTTGGAAACCCTATGGGACAGTTCTACTCTGTCCTGTAGGGTCACCAGGAGTTGGAACGGACTTGATGGCAACAAGGTTTGGTTCAGTTCGGAGGAATACCTAAAGTTGTGCCTTCAATGAATGTATGCGCCTGAACACATATATCTATATTTACACACACATATAGATACTTCTATCTGTCCTCACATATGTATACACCTATATCTACTCATGTACCTATATGCCTATAGCCAACCATATGTGATCATTCACTAGTTTTTGGTCTTTACTGGAGTTGTTGCCATCTTATTTATGTCAAATTATTTAGTACAGGCATCCTTTTCTCTTGATTCCTTCTCAGTGACATCATTTACTTTTGTCATGTTGTGCTCACTACACCCACGTTTGATGCCACTTTTCCCATGACCAAAAATAACAAGTATCTATGATCTAAAGCATGCTTCCCCTCTCCCCACCGAGTAACTGCCAATGAACATTGGTCTCTTTATTCTTGTCTTCTTATAAAAGAGGGATCATACAATATTTGTCCTTATGTGCTTGACTTATTTCACTTAGCATTATGCCCTCCAGGTCCATTGGTGTTATACTATGCTTCGCAGACTCATCACTGTCTTTATGGTTGCATAGTATTCCATTGTATGTGTGTACCACATTTTGCTTATTCATTCATTGATTTATGGGCTCTTGAGTTGTTTCCATTTTTTTTTTTTTTGCTATTGTGAATAAAGCTGCAATGAACATAGTTGTGGATATCCCTGTTTCATGTCACTCCTTTTATGTCTCTAGGGTATATACCTAGGAGTGGGATTGCTGGATGATAGGGTAGTTCTATTTCTAGGTTTCTGAGGAAGTGTCATACCATTTTCCATAGTGGTTGTACCATTTTACAGTCCCACAAGCAATGGATAAGGGTTCCAATCTTCCCACATCCTCACAAACATTTGTTGTTATCTGTTTAATGATAGTCTTATTTAACTTTTTAAAAGATTATTTAATGAATGATGAATCACTTGTCACAGGTCATATTCCTATGGCCTGAAAGGCAGGTCAAGAAGACACTAAATGGAGAGGGGGGAGGTGAGAGCTTCCTTTACTTGGTAATGTTATAGCTTTTAAAGAGCCTGAACCAAGACAAGATTTCACTGATTTGCATGCAAAGATGTCTTCCCTTGGCTGATCCTGTTCGCTGTATGTTGTCTCTGGCTGATTCAGCTCATCTTATCGCTTTGCTTGTTACAAGCATTATCACTTGTTCCTGCTTATTCTTTACCACCTGTCCTGTAAGGAGATGTGGGCTTGAGGACCAAGGACAAGACAATGGGAGGAAAGAAATGAGAGCACGAGAGGAAAGGGCATGAGTACTGTGTGTTGCAGCTCCCTTCCCACCCTCAGCCGTGCCGGCATCATGGCTGAGGGGGCTTGCTGAGCTCCCCTGGAATAACACATGATAACATTCTTTCATTCTGTTACAAATCTCAACACAATCAACTTTTCTTACATGGAAAGTGAAGTTAATTTTCTCTTCCATGCACGTTTGAGGTTCATTTTCCTCATGTGATCCATAAACAAACGACGTTGGGTTAACAAACCTGATAGAAAGAAATTCAAATTTAATTTAACTGTTTTATTCGATGAGGTGTTATAAGCAGTTTTTCTCTATAATCTGGATTACAGCATGTTTAAGAGTCACTATGGAATACTTTGAGGGGCCCTGGTGGTGCACTGGTTAAGCGCTTGGCTGCTAACCAAAAAATTGGTGGTTCGAACCCACCGGTGACTTTTCTTGGCTGTAATCTTTACAGAAGCAGATTGCCAGGTCTTTCTCTTGCGGACATGCTGGATGGGTTTGAACTGCTAACCAAACCAAACTCGTTGCCATCAAGTTGATTCCAGCTCATAGCGACCCTATAGGACAGAGTAGAACTGCCCCATAGGGTTTCCAAGGAGTGGCTGGTGGATTTGAACTGCTGACCTTTTGGTTAGCAGCCAAGCT